AGCAGTTAGGCCAGGCAAAGCGTTGGGAAGACACTTGGCAGCTCCAGAAGCAGCAGGGACAGCACAGGGATGTGCAAGGTTCCAGGCAGGAGCAGGGAGGGAAAGCCGCATGGCACAGCCCTTACAGCACAAGGGGAAGGAAATGGGAACAACCTTACCTGCACCCCTCAAGCCTGAGCACGGAGGGCGAGAAAACCAGGGAGAGAAGCGACAACAGTTAGGAGCTGAACCTGCCTCCTCCTGGGGCGAACGGCTGGAGAAGGACAGGGTTTGTATTGTCCCCTGTAGTGTGTGCTGCCCTGCAGTCCCAGACACCCTGCTCATGCCTTTGCCATCACCAAGGATGGCCTCCTCCAGCTGAAGATGCTGACTCCTACCCAAGACACTCACCTAACAGCAGGCTGTGCTGTGCTCCCCTTGCAGCACCCACCGAGGCTGCAGGCACTGAGCTGCTGTGTCAGGCCTGACCCTAGCCTCGAGCCCGCTGAAACCAAAAAGCAGCAGGGAGAAGGTGGGGACCAAGGCCAGGGGAACGGCACAGTGCCAGGACTGGGTGATGGGCCAAGACCCCAGGGCTTGTTCCCAGCCCCATGGCAAGACCCTTTTGGTGTCTCCCAGGCTGCAGGATTTTCTCCTCCAACATCCTTTTCTCCCAGCTCTCAAGCCCAGCTAAACAGGACTGGGACGGCATGAGTACAGAGAGATATTGCTGGGGCTGCTACAGCCTCCAGCAGGATAGCCAGATTGCCCCCTCCCCATTGCATTCCCCACTCACCCAAAGATCCTCTGGGACACAGCACTGCAGCTGAGAACCCAAACTTGGTCTGGGGCCACCACACGCCCGCCTTCAGGCTTTTGGGGCAGCCATCGTAGAGCACTGCAGAGAGGAGACACACACCAGAGGGGCCAGTCACAGGGGGAGGGCAGCTGATGCCAAGCCCCATGGCTCCAGCTCCCCCCCATGCCCAGACTCACCCTGGCAGCCGCTGGGTGTCACCTCAGCAAAGGGGCTGTCACAGCTGTTGCACTGGCGCCCAATGACGCCGGGCCGGCAGTGGCACCGGCCCGTCTCCTTGTCGCAGGAGCGCGAGGTGGAGCCCACAGGGTAGCAGTCACAGGGCAGGCAGGTGTCACTGCCTTTGGGGCGGTAGTGGAAGTCCTGGGGGGAGATGGGGACAGCCATCAGACAGCCCACCGGGACAGCAGCCAAGGCCAGCAGAGAAGGGTCAGGCTCTCACAATTTGCAAGCACTCCCACCACCCCAGTCGTCACCGTCCTGGGGCAGGAGGGCAGCACAGAGATGCTGAGCAGGGATTCAGCCCAGAAATAGGCACACAAAGCTGGGCCTGGGCAACTGCCAGGTCTTTGGGGGGAACAAGAAACAGCATAAAGGATAAGCAGGGCTTCAGGCAAGCCACAGGCCATGTCCCTGTGGGCACAGCTGTCCCTCACCTTGCAGTGGCACTGCCCGTTGGTTTTATTGCAGTCGGGGTCAAAGCCCTTGTTCACATCGCAGTTACAGGGCCCGCAGGTGGGGTTCCCCCACCAGCCCTTTGGACACTGCTGGTCCATCCTAGGGAGAAGAATACCTTCACTGTTATAACAACCAAATCCCCTGGGTCTTCTTCCACCAGCCCATCTGCTCAGCACCTCCAAGACGCTGGGTGGCACTAAGAGGTCCCTGGTCACGTAGCCAGGGTGAGAGGGCAGCACAAGGTGAGATACAGAGGCCGTGGCACTTCCCTGTGCCCCACATCTCACCTGTGCTCACAGTACTGCCCAAAAAAGTTCCCTCCACACTCGCAGACGTAGCCTAGGGGTGAGCCTGGCTTGCGGCGACACACTGACTTGTTCTTGCAGGGGTTGAGGTGACAAGCATCCACGCAGTCCCCTCCATAGTACCCTGAGGTTTGGACAGAGAGCACAGTGTAAAGCAAACACCTCTCCCTTGAGCCCCCAGAGCACCAAGGAGTGGAAGGATTCAGGGGGCTCAGGAGGGATTCTGCCCTCCAGAAGAATTAATTAGTCTCTGACAGGGATGCGACTTGCCCAAGGGACAGACAGGAGAGCAATTAGAGGCCAGAAGGGAGCCACACGGGGAGAGGAGAAGACAGAGAGGCAGAGAGCAAAGGGGTGCCAGGCTGCTGCAGGCCCTACCTGGCTGGCAGACACAGGAGTAGCTCTGCCACTCATCCTTGCAGACACTGTTGGCTGGGCAGGGGGTGGAGTCGCAGGGGGTGGGGGAGCCGTCGGCGGCGGCCACCCCCCCGG